TTCTGCTCTCTCTGCTTTTTCTCATAGTAGCTTCATCTGGTCTGTTCCTGTTTGGCTGTGACTCCATCCTGGAGAGAAATATCAGCTGTGCTTTATATCAGCTGAAGAAACTTTTTATCAATTTTAGTTAAATCTATATGTTTAAATGCAGGATGACATGCAAAATAAATATATTTTTATATCTATGAGTTTTTTAAAAGATTATACCTGCATTTAATTGTCTCGTAGTAACTTTTTGACATTTATAGGAGGTTCCTTTTGAATTTTTGTCAACTAAAACATTCAAATATGAAATAACTTAATTGGATTAAAATGGAATGACTATTTTCATCCAGAGGATTGAGGATTAAAAACATTGGAACAAAAGGATACATTTTTTTCTAGCAACAGTTTTGGGATGTTCCTCCCAGTTCCAACGTGACAGGGTACCAGTGCACAAAGTAAGGTCCAAAGTGAAACCAATGAGACACCATACTGTCTCCACTGATCTACACACACTCACGATCAGAACCTGGCCAACTTTCCTCACCGTTGAGTTGTCATTTGTGTAGAAGTTGTTCATCTCCTCTGTGAGTTTGTCTAGCTGGAGGGAGCGAACACCCAGGATCTGGATCCAGAAGTGGTTTGGGTTTTCTGATGCTGACACATAAACCTCTAAGTGTTCATCAGGTTGGAAGCTCAGGTCTGGGCTGGGTACTGCGGTAAAAAAAGATGTAAATAATCAGCATTAAATGACTGGAATCAAACAGAAACTTTTCTTAGTAAAAACGGAAAATTGAACAGACTTTCAAACTTAGAGAGTTCAGAGAGGGACTCAGTGGAGACGCTCTTCTCTTCCAGGTCATCAGTGTCCTTTGGCTCCTTCATCTTGTCAAAGACATATTCAGTTGTGGCTTCACTGGAATGAACAAATCCGTTCTTGTCGGAAACAGGACCATTATTGTTCACACCAAAAGGAGCTTCAGACTTTGTGCTACAAGCCTCTGGAATCACCACTGGATTTCCACGTTTCTTGCGAAGGGCAGATGATTGGGAGATCTTTGTCCTCACCACTGCATCATCTCTGACTCTTTCTAGAATCATCTCCTGCAAGCATGCCACAAAAGGTGCGGTCAGACAAACTTTAAATGAAAAGGTAAATATTTGCTGAATCCAAATGAGTTATGGTTCACCTTAGCCTGCTTCACTTGCTGTCTGGTACCTCTGATGGTAACACTGCCCATTCCTCTAGAGTTGGGCCTTTTCTCTCTGGAACAAACCACGCTGGCTCCTGTAGCACTTGTAACTAGTTTTATAGACTCACCACCACGTCCTGTAACACACATATAGCTTCTAACAGCAAATTGCCCAAAAAAATCCTATTTGAAATAAGTGCTTTGGTCAGATCTAAACAGTAAGTGATTGTCAAGGACAGCATATTAATCTGAAAGTCACAAAAATCCAATCATTGGAAAACTTTGTCTTTGTGCCAATGGCCAAGGCAGCCCATCACATTAGGTTCTATGAAGTCATACCAAAGGCATAAACACCCTCAACACCAGGGGTTCTAAATGTTCACGCCAAAACACTGACACCCCATCACATCAGGTTCTATGTGTTCATGCCAGAGCAACAACACCCCATAACTACAAGTTCAACGTTTAGCTCTTCATGCCAAAAGCGATCACACCCTAACAATGGAGGTTCTAGGCGTACCTCTTCACCCCATAGATGACCT